AGCTGGGAGTGTGTTGGACACAGCTGCCTATAGGCTTTGGCCCTATAAGAGCTCTTTAACCCATACTGGGGGAGAAAAGGTGCATCCCTGTGTTGTCCTATGCCATTTTTTATTTCATTTAGCTTGAGCTAAGAGCCAGCTTGCAAGCTTCAGCACAAATACGTAGCAGCACATATTACAGGCGATGTTACAGGAGTCCTGTGAAATCAACCTTTCGTAAGAGTCTTTTTTTCAGAGATGTGTTTATAAAAATGACACGGTTTTCTGTTGCATATACATATGCCTACGAGTAGTTTGTTCCCTGCTCTGTACACTGGCTGTCAATGGGGTGTCCTATAGGGCCAATGAAAAAGTAAAGGTATGTTTAATAAAATACTCTGGTATTCCCTTGGGTGTTTCTTACGCCTGTACTTCTGGATGACATTCCTGTGCATAAGAACAGCACTCGGATGCTTTCCGCAGGGAGAAGGTGGAGTGGCCTGACAGAAACACTCCATTTCCCCACCCCAGCCAGAAAATGAGATGCTGGGATGACTTTTTATGGTATTTCTTAAAGCAACAAGCAGAGGCATTTTTCAATCCCAACGGGTGCGTTAAATGGACCTGCTCTGGTAGGGCAGGTTTTATGTTCTTACACCTGCATCTCTCGGCAGGAGGAGGAGAAGCACCAGCCCGCCGTCTGCGCTGCCTGCCAGCGCAGCCTCCTCCGGCTGCTTCTGGGCGCCAGATGGTCGCTGCAGCAGGCAGATACCACGCTGTTCAAAAAGTAAGTTTCTGAGTGCACCTTCACACACAGGCGTTAACTTACTCATTTTATTAGGAAGGGCGTTAGTAGCTGTGCAGGTCTTGGAAAGCATGTGCAACAGATCTTCTTGCCTACACCACACAGCGAAGGAGGCAATCAAACAAGCACAGCTCTACAGAGCACTATTCGTGTTGTCTGGACGGGGATTTAATTTCATTCAGATGTGTCCCCAGCTCTCGGTTTTCTCATTACCAATTTACAGTTCCTTTTTCTTTCTCTATTCTTTTGGATTTTGCTGTAGCTGAATGAAGGTATCCAGTTAAAGACCAGTATTTTGGAAGCACCTTCAAACAGAACAAAAAAAGCATAAAACCAGAAAAGATAATCGACAGCCAGCTAACAAAGCATGCATCAAACAGTCTCTGCCAAACCAGTGATGGCATCCTACTGATATTTTTCTCTCTGCCAGGATGGTTATTTCCCTTGACACCAAAGCTTTGCCCCTCTCCCCAGCATTTAAAAGATTAAGCCTACGATACCATCAGACTCCTTAGGTAAGGCATAGATTGCATTACCTATTTGAAACTAGAAAAAAAATATTAAGCTGAAAGACTACGGAGCCTTGTAGTAATTTAGAAACAAAAGATTCATTACTTTTAACTCATGCTGGGAGAGGACAATTTATCAAACACCGAGTAAGACTTCTGCCAGGTGCATACTGAACCACTGCTGATCCAGGCACACGCCTGGCAAGCACGCTCCGTATCGCTTACCCTAGAAGGGGCCTTCCTATTCCCAAGATCTTTGTAGCAATTCCAGGTCAGATCACTTTATTTTTTAACTCCTTTCTCTTCCCAAGACTCATTTTACTGTGTTAAAAGTGAACAGCCCCCAGAGCTACAGAAAAAGAAACTGGATTTTATTCAGTCTCACACATCGTCAATGAAATTCTTACAAAACACATGCTGGGCTTTTATTACTGATTAATTGAGCTGGCTAGAAGATGATTCAGGTGCCTGTTTATACCTTAACGTGATGAAAATGCAGACTTTAAAGCAAAACAAACAAACTGCAAGACAAAAATTTTCATTTGAAATCTGTCATCGTTTTATGTGGAGACCCTAATGTGGCACCCCAGGGAATTTGCAGTTTAGGTGCTTGTGTTCCTGTTCTCTTTCATGGGCTTAGTTATGGACCATGTCATCTGGGGACTGTCCTACACAGAGAAGATCTGTGCATAGGGTTCTTAAACTATAACTGCCAGTGGGAAGGGGCTTCCAAAATAAAATGTTTCAATTATCAGCGACAGCTTTTCTAATTCTGAGCCATAGCTTTTCAACTAAAAATCTGTAGAGGCATTTTTTAAAATGAACATGTTGTTTAGTGGAAAAGACACCCTTCTATTGAAAAATTGCTGCAATTGAGACGTTTCCCAGGCTTTTCATAAGGTCAGAAGTACCCATTTTGATTTAAGCATCCCAGGTAAAGCTTGCATTTACTGTGTCCCAGGCAGAGGTAAAGAAATAATGGAGTCCTCTAACCCTTTTCAAATAAAGCTGCTTTTCTCGTTCTAAAGCTCTAAGTGTCCGCTCCAATTGACCAAAGAGAGAAATTCAATATCACAATTACAAAAAAAACCTCCAGCATAAACTCTTGAAGCTTCCTTGCTGATATTTTCTGGCCAAAAGGTCCAGCTTTCAGTGGACTTTCAGCGGTCAGATTATATTAAGGAATCCTGGTCCCTAAGAAGCAGATTTTGGGAAGTTTCCTGTTCTTGTTCCTACTTTTGTTTAATCCATAAGTGAGAAGCAAATCAGATTCAGAAAGCTCTTCTTAACTACACCTGAAAGGAGGGAGCATTAAGCATATTTCAGAAAATTTTTTTGCTCGTTTGCTAGTTGTAATGTCACTCCCCATCAACAGTTAGGTGATTCTTAGAAAACTTCCTATGATCCAATGATTATTTCCCTCTTCGCCAAATCTTTGTGCAGTGCAATTCTGGCCTAATCACCCCCCTTTTCTTCACTTGACTCCCTCAATACAAAGGGAAAGGTATCAGCCAGGACTGACCTCCAACTCATGGGCAAGCCCCCCAAAGCCCTGCTGGGGAGCATGCCCTTCCCACTTTCTGTTCGAAATCTCTGCCCCATGTCCTGTCCTAATTCCCCTCAGCTCTTTCTTCCACACAACAGCATTTCAGTCAGACATCATCATCTTCAGCACGCCCAGGTGGTTCTTCTTACAAAATCTTCTAATCTAAAACAGGCTGCAAAGTGTCATCCAAGGGACCAGACTAAAGCAGAGGCAGGCAATGGTTTTGGTGGAGGGCAGTGACAAACACAGTGATGTTCCTCGAGCAACGACAGGAGTGCTTACGCCTTCCTCTTGCTCCTTGCTTCATCAGAGCTAACACCCCTCCTCTGCTGCTCCTGTGCCTGGGCAACACTGCTGCAAAAGCTGGTGGACACCACGGAGCCACCACGCTCCCCTCTCACCAACCTTTTCTTCCCCTGCGCCTTAGCCGAAGACCCTTCTCAGCCGCGCTCCCATCTTGGGGTTTCCTGCAACTCTGTGTCCCAGGAGGGAAACTCCCTTTCCCAGACTGGCCCCAGGAACATCGTGCTGCTCCTCTCCCCACAGTGCCTGGCTCCGCTGTGGCCTCCCTGGCATCGGGGACCGACATGGGAGCAGCCTGGCTGCCCCATGAGGAGCACAGTGGAGACCACCACCCCGTGATCTCCCTCCAAGTCAGCTCTTGACCTGCGGTCCTGCTCTGAGGGGTGCCTGCCATCAGCCCCCTCCCCAGCTGCCATGAAATCTGGTCGGGCATAACGCAGGCGGCCACAAAATTAAACAGCCTCCGCATCTGACTGTATCAAGAAATCGATTTGCCCTGTGGATTTATTGTTAGGTTAACTGGAATTCGGCTATGATGTGTATTAAATTTCAAAAATCTGTGTGGGTGTGTATAGAAATAAAGAATGTAAGAAAGAAAGGAAGGAAGGAAGGAAGGGATGAAGTCACAGTCAATGGCAACGGCCAGCTTCTTTTTCCTGCCAGTAAATGTGCGTTGGCACGATGCTGAATACTGCCAAAGGTTTCTTTTCTTTTTCAGCAATCAATACTGACGTAAAAGCCTGAAGCGTTAATATGCTGAAAACTCCCCTTGCAGAAGACTTAATGATATGTTGGCAACTCAATCATTCTGCATTTGTGTTTCAGCAATGTCAAATGGCAGCAGTTAAGCAGAAACCTGCTGGCAAATTGACAAACAACAGCCATGAAGCAATTAAGTGGCAACGCTGGAGAATTTTTCATTACGTATCCTGAAGAACAAAAGGAGGGGAAAAAAACCCAAACATGCTTGTTTCCAATAAGTTGTCCCAGTAGAAAGCTTGGTAGAGTATGAGCTGCACAGGTAGAGTAGGTCTTAAGTTTTCAAAAGTTACGGAGAAGAGACATTTTCCCAATATGCTCGAAAGCAATGCAAGCTCCAACATGGGCCAAAGCCTGCCAGCTTCTGCATGTGATACTTGATGAAGGAGGTCACTACTTAGAAAAAGGTCTGATGCTTGCCCGAAGTACAGTGCAGGTGCCTACAAAACATGCTTTTCCTGCTTCACACTATTTGGGAAACGAAAATAAAAGCTTCCCCGTACAACCAATTTTTCTTGAGAGAGCAAACAGAGCCTGGATGTCTAAGGTGAGTGTGCCTTCAGTTTCTCTGTCTGTGCACAACTAGGGAGGGTGTACACCGAAGACAGCATCAAAGCCCCACGTGCAAAATTATCAGAGAGGCTGGCCAGATTTGCTGGCTCAGAAACACACCGGAGGCAAGTCCAAGGCCATTCCTTGACATCAGTACATTGCATTATGTAATACTCAAAAATAAAATACACAGGGGCAAGGCCTCCAGCTACTAAACCCAGACAGAAATGCTATGACCCAGTCCTTCACTCAAACCAAGTTTGTGTTCAGATTCCTGAAACCCAAGAAACCTCTTGAGGCTCCAGCTACAACTCCTCCCTGCAACAGCAGAGCAGAAGAAAGGAAATTGTTTTTCTGCCATGTGAAAGCCACATTAATGCTGAAGGGTAACTTCCCTTGCCCACTCTTGCCTTGTGTGGCTCAAGCCATGCAAAGAAGGGAAGCCTCAGCCTCTTTGCTGCAAGGGCTTCCCCCGCACGCAGGAATCCCCTGCGAGAGGCAGGTGTGATGCTGCCCACCCCGTTGGGCAACACCCTCACCTGACCCCTGTTTCACGGGGATGAAGGGATGAAAAAATTGGCAAAATGCAAAAGGTTTCTGAACAGTGTCTAACTCCTCCTTCCCTCCACCTCATAGGTCTTGTTCATAGTCAGAGCTAGAGGTGAAGCAGAAATGGATGAAGCCAAACAGCCTCAGAACACGCTGCTGGAATAGCCTGATAAGAGCACTGCTAGGGACAGTAATTTATTTTTTTAGACTTTTACTTAAGTCATTTTAGCAAAACACATTGGCATGTTGCTTGTTGCAGTTCTTCAGATTTCTCCAACATCTCCACATGCCCCACCCTCCCAATATATATCTGAAGAGTCTGTTCTTCTGAATGAATGAACACACATTTATCTCCTTCATGAAATACCACCCAGTGTAAACATCCAAAGCAAATCAAAAGTCAATAAAGAAAAGACACAGAAAGGAAAAAGTAACAAAAAGGATGCACATCTCAGTGGTAAACTATAATTAAACATAAACCATTACTATAGAGCATAAATAATAATTAAAACACATATTGTTAATTTTTTGCCTCATTACTCTGAAGCATCACACAAATCTCCCAGTCTACGCAAGCAAAGATTCAGTGGCGACGCATGGGACGGCATTTACGCCTTCCAACTAGTAGGAAGCTCCCCACGAGCAGGCTGGGCGGCACTTCAGCATATGTTTTCTTCCATCTGTAAGAGCTTTGCAGAAATCGCAGCAGCTGTGCTGGAGAGGACAGAGGTTGTGTGGCAGAGCACCCATCAG